TAGAACTGGAGTAGCGCTGCACCAATTTACTTCTTAAATTGTATTTTTATATATTTTTTTTTTATAGAAGTGTTCCCATGCCCTCTGTTTCTCAGCTGCATAACTAGCTGGGGGAGGAGAAACAGGAGTACACTGATCGTTCCAATGAATGGCTGTGGGGGAAGGGGCATGTCAGCAGAAGTCTGATCATTGGAGAAGAACAAGCTGAGTTCCAATCACTGCCAGAAAACTGCCCACTCTGTGCTTGTTTGTCTAGTGTGATCCGTTTTTCTGTTTCAGCATGTTTACTTGTTTTGAAAATGAGCATAGGAAATCAAAGGCAAGCATATGAGTCACATGCACAGGGGCTAAGTAATGAATAACCATTACAGACTGATCAATGAGGGTTACAGTCATGAAAACCAAGATAATAGGTTTTTGAAACATTGGGATGATACCAATAAGTTGGAAATGCAAAGAAGCCATGTCCAAAATTTCTACTCAGTCACTAAAGTGGAGGCTCTTTTGCAACCAATCCGGTAGGGTGGGGGGTTTGGTGAGTGTGGTCAGTTTTTCAGTTTTTAATAGGAAAGTAGTGGGACTGGCAGGAACACCAGGGATTTCACACAAAGGAAGACATACAAAGAGAACAGGATACTTTTTCATACAAGTACATGGTACAGCAGGCACCTATCAGGGATATGAAATGCTGAGTTTACATATTCTTTAAAGCTGAACTCCAGGCAAGCAGCTACATATAGAGAGATAAAATACATTTGTAGGTACTAGCCAAAGGATTGCTATTTATATTTACCCAGTTCTGAGATTTGCATAGCTCTGCCATACAACAAAGCATTATCTGGCAAGGATGGAGACCTGCAGTTAAATAACACTTACAGAAGTAGGCCATTATAGTTGTAATTCACAAACCTGTAAAAGATAAACAACCCAATTCATATAGATTGATATCACTATTGAACACTGATGTCAACTTGCTTGCCCGTGTCTTGGCTGCTCGCCTGGCTAAGGTTATACAAAAGTTGATGCATACAGACCAGTTGGGTTTTTCCCTAAGAGATCCACTGCCCTTAACATTCAAATACTCCTCAACAACCCGGGTAGCAGAGCAATTTTATCTCTTCGATGCTGCCAAGGTTTTGACAGTGTCAAGTGGAACTATTTATAGGCTGTTCTTCATAGATTTTACCTTGGGAACAGGTTTATAGCTTGGATAAAACTTTTATATGGAGAACCTGTGGAGCTTTGGATTAATTGGTGCTCTCTCAGAGGTACTAGGCAGGGGTCGCCATTGTTCCCTGTTCTTTTTGCCTTGGCATTGGATCCTTTAGCAGCCATGGTCAGCCTGATATAGTTGGATTTCAACGTGCAACCCAGGAAGATAAAATTTCCCTGTACGCTGACTGTTATACCTGGGGGACACCGCTGGCTCAATAACAGCAGTAATGAGCCTCATTGAGGAATATGGATCATATTCTGGGTTCTCCATAAACTGGCAGAAATCCATTTCTCCTCCCACTAGACCCTTCGACTGCTGGATTGCGGGCGAGATCCTGCCAGATAGCTGTGGTGTCCTCCTTCTGTTACCTTGGAGTCATAGTTACATCTGACCCCCTGGGAATACTTCTCGTTGAAGCTTAAACCAATTCTGCATAATTATACAAGTAAATGTGCTAGTTGGTGTAAGTTTCCACTGTCAGTGATTGCCCGTGTCAACCTAATTAAAATGATATGGGCACCACAATTGCTTTATGTCTTCGCAGTTGTCCAATAAATGTTCCCCACACATGGTTTCTATGCCTAGACTCCCAATTTCGGGAATTGATCTGGCGAAGGGGCCTGCTAAAATTAAGCTATCTATTTTGTAATACTCCAAATATCAGGGAGGTATGACTGTACCTCAAATCCATTTTTATGCTGCTCAGCATCAACATCTATTGGGCTGAGCTGTACCCAATCATACCGACCCCTTTCATAACATGCTGACGAGCTTGGATACAGCCTACTCTGCTCTTTCACACTTAGAAATGGGTTTGCCAGCTGTTCCATCCCACTGCCCAATGGTGGCACTGTTCATACATATATGGAGAGCCGTTAAACGTCAATTGGGATTGGTAGGTTTTTTTCTTTTGTACTCCTATTTGAGGTAATAGACTATATGTTGAACTATATAAGCTACAGGACACACAACACTGGGCAGAGGCTGACATAAAATATATTTTTCAATTATATGTGGACACTGTTTTGAAATCCTTTGACCAGCTGAGGTTAGAGTTTCCTATTCTTTGCCACTGTTTACTAGTATCTACCACTGCACCATGCGTTACAGATGCAGGGTGGACATTCTGCCACCCAACTGGCCCATTCACACTTCTTGGACTCCATTTTTTCATAGATTAACAAGATGGGAGCCTTCTCTAGAATTTACTCATGCAGACACAAGGACTTGGCTTTCTTACCCTGTAGGAGGAGGTTGGAGGCAGATATAGATGGAGAGAAAGCTTGGAGATGTCGTTGGCTGTTGTACCATTGGTGTCAGTGTCTGCTGCACAGAAACTGTTACAACTATTCATTCTTTACCACACCTACCGTACACCGGCACAACTGTTTGCCTGGGGCAAAAGAATCTCTCCCATTTGTCCCAAATGCAATGCATCACAAGGGATTTTATCCACAGGATCTGGAAATGACCCAAACTTGTTCGTTATTGGGTAGAGGGCAGAACTGTTATTAATCAAACGTATGACATACAACTCCCTGTGGATCCACTGGTTTGCTTATTAGGGGCGTTAGATGTTGAACAATATACCCCAGCTGTCTACACAGCCCTCACCCGTCTCTTATACATGGCAAGGAAACTTATTGCACGCTTTTGCCCCCCCCCTCCCCCAGCTGTAAACAATGGGTGGACCAGGTGAATTACATTCTTATTAGAAGAATACCTATCAATGTAGAAATTAATCCAAGAAGTTTTATGGCTATAAGACAATGCTAGCTTGACACTCACAGTTTAGCCCCTCCACAGCTCACCTTACATAGGCTATTGCGAAAAATAGGGGTAGATATTTTGATATTGTATACAGCTGCTTGCTCCTGTTGACCTAAAGCCATCTTGTGTTCATTTGTTATGTCTGATAATACTTATTGTAAGCCAAAGGAATACTCCTATTTACTTTCCTGATGCTACTTTGAGCATTACAGTTCTCGCTTAATGTCACTATATATCCCCTATACTGCACTGAATGTAATGCAGTGCACATTGCACTGCATTACATTCTTTCCCAGCCTTGATGGCTGGGAAATCTTTCAACGGGGACCTGGAAGTGGCATCACATCATAAGACAAGAAGGGGAGGGGAGCGGAATTATCTGTTCTCCTCCCCTATACCTGCCTGCAGCCACTGACTGGTCCCGGGCCCAGAGATAGGCAAGTGGAGCCCGGGAGACACAGTGGGCAGGGGGGCGCAGGCTGGCATCATAGTGGGCTGTGTGGAAGCAATCAGGCGGCAACGCTGCTGCCCAAATGCTTCACCTGACAGATGAGCCCTGCTGCTTGTCCGCAGCAGGGGCTAAAGGAAAAAAAACCTACCTGCCCAGCGAGCCTGGAACTACATGTCTCGGGCATCTGGCATTATGAATTGAACATCCCTGAATCATTAGTATTATAGTCTCAATAATATGTATGTGCAACATTGTGTGCCTTCTCTAATTTTTTTAAATACATTGTTGATCCTGCCAGTTACTTCTCCTTTGTTAGTGGCGGCAATGATCTGTGGGCTTATTTACCCTCTGCAGAGTTGCCACCACTTGTGATTATAATTTAGAAAGGAAAAGCCTTGCATTTTCATGATCAAAATGGCCCGAGCGTTGGGCAGGACCATAAAAATGTGTATATAGACTGCGCTGCCAAGAACCAAAATTACTTAACAATTTGCCACGTGAAAATGCAAAAAATGGGAAAAAAAATTATATAAATGGACAACACAAGAAAATACAAATAATGTCCAATGTATCAATAAGTCGCATTCAAATAATAGTTGCTTGAAAGCCAAAAAGATAGGTGAACAGGCGCTGCCAGAAAAAAACAGGTGACCACTTCCAGGTGCTTCAGGTGACCCCACATGGATTTACACTCGTGCAATAGATGGACCTTCTATTCCTAGATAGGTCTCACTGTGCTTTTTTTGGTTGGACCCACTGTGTGTCTTGTCACCAATTTGACCATTCATATGTACCAGGAATGCAATTTCTTTCCATGCTATAAACCGCCACTCAAACAGTTTCAGGGAAAAGGTTCATTGCGCAAAGCAGCTGACTTTATTAAACCATATAAACCTAACAATTACACCGCAATCACATGTATATGTGCCTAGGACCGGCACCAGGTACATACAGCGCTTGTTGTTAAGATGGCTGCCAGCACCCCGAGATCAGAAGCTGTCTTGTGTTCCAGGGATGGGATGGGATGGGATTGGATGTGATGTATCAGCTGGGGAACACTGCTTCAATTAGTTTCATCTGTAATTGGTCGTCTTCAGGAAGCTAATGTTCACCATTTTGGAAGTTTGGCAGTCTGTCCTGCCATGAATTGCAATGACAGGAAGAGCATCTGTCAATCAGATCCTCTTATCCGTGCCATCAGGCAGTGCTGCTGGCAATGTAACGTATTTTCCGGCGTATAAGACAAATTTTTTTTACTTAAAAACATACCCCAACAATTGGGGGTCATCTTATACGCCGGGTATAGAACCGCTGGATGTGCGGTAATACTGTATCGTAGCTTCAGCTACATATAGTGTACCATGCTGAGCCAAACACGGCGAGCGATGTATTCTATTAATGAATACAGAGCTTGCTTGGATTGGCTGAAGTTGTGACATCATCAGCCCACCTCTCTGACGCAGCCAATACGAGCAGGCTCTGTATTCATTAATAGAATACATCGCTCGCCGTGATTGGCTCATATGACGTCCTCCGATTCTCCGCAGCAAAGCGCTGTGTCCTCCTCGGACACAGCGGATCACCGATCACAGAAAGAGCCAAAGATGTTGGTTCGGTCATGTGATCAGCTGTGTCCAATCACAGCTGATCACATGTAAACAGGGAAATGCCGGTTATCGGCACTTCTCTCCTCTCGAGCTGTCACGCTGACAGAGGAGAGGAAAGCCGGTAATCGGCTTGCCGCGGAGGGGACATGTACACTGATCATCAGGGCACTGATGATCAGTGTGCCCTGATGATCAGTGTAGCCCCAGCAGTGTCACCTGTCAGTGTCCATCAGTGCCAGCTGTCAGTGTCCATCAGTGCCACATCAATGCCACATATCAGTGCCTACCAGTACACATCAATGCCACATATCAGTGCCCATCTGAGCTGCCTTTCAGTGCCACCTATCAGTGCGCGTCAGTGCCACCTATCAGTGCCATGTATCAGTGCTGCCTTTCAGTGCCCATCAGTGATGCCTGTCAATGCCCATCAGTGCCTCCTCATAAGTGCCCATCAGTGCCACCTATTTCATATGGGTACCAGTGTTGCATGACCGCGCAATTGTCATTCAAAGTGTGACAGCGCCGAAAGCAGAAAATTGGCCTGGGGGGGAAGTGGGTATAAGTGCCCTGTAGGCAAGGGGTTAAATGGTGTTGCCTCAGAAGGGGGTAGTCTTATACGGTGAGTATAGCCCAAAACCTATGTTTTAGCTTGAAAATTAGGGGGTCGTCTTATACACCCAGTCGCCTTATACGCCGGAAAAAACGGTAGGCAGTTGGGAGCAAAAGTGTTTGACAGTTTTTTCTCCTGTCATTGTAATTCACTTTAAAAACAGAGGGTTTCCTTGCACACAATTACAAATATGTGTGGAAGCCGCAGTGCCCACATTATGTCTTCTCTCTATACTGTGGTTTTGAGAGTCTCTAATTTTGAGCACATATAGCAGTGGATAAATGAACAGCAGGTCTGCCTGGAGGGTGCTCACTCCTTCTTAAAGGCACAGGGATACATTGGAAGCCCCAGCAATAGTACCATGACAGCTGAAGGCATTCAATGTACCCCCACACCAAATCAGCGAACATGCTATATAAAAAGATGGCAACCATCCCAATTTATGACTAGCCTTTGCAGTAAGGTGCACATGGAAGGGCAACGCACATCACAAACAAACAAAAAATTCCCAGCACACTTACCAGCTAACCTGCAAAACAACCAAATTGACCCTGTCTAACAAATCACATTAAAAACAGAGGGTGTTCACCTGACCTGAGACGAAAGCAAAGAAGGAAGGCATTTAGAAGCATTTTTGTTATATGTGGCTGTCTAATTTCATTGGGGAAGAAATTGCCAACGTTGATTTGTAAAACCAGCATTTAGGTTTACAACCCATTTAATGAGCTCTGATCATTGTGCTGCACACACAGAGCATAGTCCAGGTATTCATTCAGGTGTTGCTGTAGTAAATAAGTCCACCACATCCCACTTGTTAACATTCTAGAACCCCTGCTTATGATTCAGGATGGGAATTTCCCGAACACGCCCAATGTGGACTCGACCTATTTTCTCCCATACAGAAACACTAATGTAAAAAAGAAAAAATGTTTGAGCTAGGAAGTTTCTTAGGGCCACTGGATACCACTGGGATTGGGATTGAGATTGTGAATGTGATGAATAATTCAAGAAGCAGAGAGGGAGGAAGTTACACAACACAGAATTCCGTACGTTTGTTCCCAGTGAGCTTTGTGAAAGCTGCTTGCAGTGGATTAGAGAGCTGAGATTCTGGCTTCACACTCTTGTGCTATACAGTAGTAATCCAAGCAATAAAAGAGAAAAATTCCCAGCTCAGCTTACCAACCAGCTTGCAAACAAACCGAATTAACCTGTCTAACAGTATGCGTAAAAACGGGTTTACCGTATTTTTCGCCGTATAAGACGCACTTTTTCTTCCCCAAAACTGGGGGGGAAATGTCAGTGCGTCTTATAAGGCGAATATGGAGCGGCCGGTCCGGTATTTCCACCGCGGCCATGTCAGAATACCGGGCCGGCCGCTCAGCTCTGCAGCGGGACCTTACCTGTTCCTCTATCCAGCGGCGTGCTGTCTTCCCGGCTTCTGTAGTGTGGGCACTGGGCATGACAGCCGGGTGCCAAGTGCGCATGCTCAAGAAGCGGTGCTTTTTGTGAATGGTAAGGCGGTACCTGGGACACATGACAGATCCCAGAAGCCGCCGGACCAATCACAAAGCACAAGTGCTTCTCGCTCATGCGCACTGGGCACCCGGCTGTCATGTCGAGCGCCATTACAGAAGCCGGGAAGACAGCGCGCGGCTGGATCGAGGAACAGGTAAGATCAAAAAAAAACTCTGCGGAAGTAAGAGCGGGTACCACCTCCCCAAATTCAGGTACCCGCTCCCCACCTCCCCAAAGGTCAGCAGTCATCTGTACTGTCCACAGTCTCTGGTCATCCCTGTGCTGTCCGCAGTCTCTGGTCATCCCTGTGCTGTCTGCAGTCTCTGGTCATCCCCTGTACTGTGTCTGCAGTCCATTAGTTCAGAATTTTTTTTTCCTGTTTTCTTCCTCTAAATCCTAGGTGCGTCTTATGGTCAGGTGCGTCTTATACGGCGAAAAATACGGTAGTTAGCACACATTTGCAAATACATGCGTAAGCTGCAGAGCATCTTCACGGCACCCCGATATTCTGCAGTTCCTAACTCTACAAATTTTGAGAACCCCCATAGTAGAGGTACATATATTTAATGGATAGACCAAGGACAAGTGGACCTGAGGGAGTCCATCCCTTCTTAAAGCTACAGCAGCGCACTGGACACCCAGCATGTAGCACAATGACAGCCAATGTGTGCAGTGCGTCCCCTCCCCAACAAGTCAACAGTACAAAAAATGGCCACTGCCCCAGTCTATAACTGGCCTTCACAGCAAAGAGCACATAGAAGGGTGATGCATGTCAAACAATAAAAGAGAAAAATTCCCAGCTCAAATTACCAACCAGCCTGCAAACAAACCAAATTGTCCTGTCTAACAGTATGCGTTAAAAACAGGGGTTTAGTTAGCACACATTTGCAAATACATGCGTAAGCTGCAGAGCCTCGTCACGGCACCCCGACATTCTGCAGTTCCTAACTCTACAAATTTTGCGAGCCCCCATAGTAGAGGCACATGTATTTAATGGATAGACCAAGGGCAGATGGACCTGAGGGAGCCCACCCCTCCTTAAAGGTACAGGAGCGCACTGAACACCCAGCATACTGTTAGGCTAATTCGGTTTGTTTGTAGGCTGGTTGGTAAGTTGAGCTGGGGATTTTTCTCTTATTTTTTTACATGCGTTCCCGAGTGTAAAGGCCAGTTATAGACTGGGGCAGTGGCCATTATTTGAACCATTTTTTTATACAGTAGTAATGCCTGGAACTCTACATTTGGGTGCCATTCTTAATGGCATCTCAGTGTTCACAGTACAGTAGGTACCAAAAGACCTGCACTGCAGCACACCACAATATACAGCACAGGTGTTGTATTGGGCATTAAAAAAGCTACAGGTCCAGTTTTTTTATACCCTTTTTATGTGTTGCCAGTCCATTGCTAACGAATGGGCTTCCCTAGAGGGGTTCTAAAGCCTCGAGTTTTTTTTTTTTACCTTAACCTCTTACCCGCCGCCCTATACCAGATGTACTGCTACAGCACAGCCTCGTTGGGCAAAAATCACGGAAATATACGTGATTTCACATTTCGGGGTAGGGGGGTGTGTGCGCCGCCATACCCGTGCTGCTATTGGCCCCGGAAGATGTTGGTCACCGGGTCCTGGCTCGGCGATTTTCAGCTGCTGATAATAAGCAAAGCTGAGAAGGGAGATATCTGTGTGTAAAGAACATAGGTCTCTCCCCTGTCAGCATGTGTGCTGCTTTCTATATCTCTGCACAGCAGAGAGGTATAGAAAGCAGCATGTCTGCTTAGTAAAAAACAACACCGTACACAATAAAATCACTCCCACACAGTTAACCCTTTGATCGCCCCAGATGTTAACCCCTTCATTAGTACAGTGTCGGTGCTTTTTATTAACACTGATCACTCTATTAGTGTCACTGGAGATGTCAGTTCCCCCCAGTGTCAGATTGCCTGCCGCAGTCCCGCTATAAGTCGCTGATCACCGCTATTACTAGTATAAACAAAATGACGAAAAATTCTATACCTTTCATGTAAACCAATTAATATACACGTATAGGGAATATTTTAGCAAAGACATGTAGTAGAATGCATTTGGCCTAATTTTTTGACGAAATTTTATTTTTTAAATTTTTTTATTGGATGTTTTTTTATAGCAAAAAGTCAAAAATATAGGTTTTTGGTTTTTTTTTCAAAATTGTCAGTTTTTTTTTTTTATAGCTCAAAAAAAAAAAAACGCACAGGTGATCAAATACCACTGAAACAAAACTCTATTTGTGGGGCAAAAATTACATAAATTTCATTTATACACAGCGTTGCATGACCGCACAACTGTCGGTTAAAGTAACGCAGTGCTGTATCGCAAAAAATGGCCTGGTCAGGAAGGTGGGTGATCTTCTGGAGGGCAAGTGGTCAATGCATTCTATGTATTAAGGTAAAAAACGTTCTGTGTCACCGACCCCCCCCCCCCCCCCCCCATACTTCCATGAGCCCATGTCGATCCAGAGCTGTGCACAAGAGCTGCAGCTCTCCCGGCTCTGTCCCTCCTCACTGGGCAGATTGATAACAGCAGTGGGTTGCTATCAATCTGCCCAGTGAGGAGGGACAGAGCCGGGAGAGCTGCAGCTCTTTGGTTGACACTGGATTTGACTTGTCAATCAAATCCAGTGGTGAAGGTGTGGGGGTGGGGCTGAGCTCCCGGTGTCTGTGTCAATAGACGCAGACAGGGAGGCTTGGGAGCAAGCCTGCACGAGTGCCCCCATGGAAAGCAGCTTTCCATGGAGGCAGTGAGTGGGTGAGGGGAGCCAGGAGCGTCAGCAGGGGACCTGAGTAGAGGACAGTCAAGGCTGCTCTGTGCAAAACCATTGTACAGAGCAGGTAAGTATGCATGTTTGTTGTTTTTTTTTTTCATTTAAAAAAAAAAATGGAAGCTTTAATATCACTTTAACACAATACATATTAATACATGAAATTTTAAAGCTTAAGTGCAGACAAAAGCAAAAAAGAAAAAAATCAGCACAAGGGACATAACTTACAGTCTTTTAGTTGAACTCCTTCTCCATCCCTGTCCTCACCCACCCACCTCCCACCGCTGCCATAACCTTCTGGTGTGGTGGGGTTAATACAAGTAAGGGGCTCTCACAAAAACCCTCATCAAGAGAGCCCAACTATGCCCTTCATAGAAGCCGTACTACAGTTTCTGTGAATAGAACAGGATCTCTGAATGGAGGGGACTGAGCCCCCATTCTTGGATTCTTTTGATGACGGACTGTGACAGCCCTCTAGAAGATGACGGAGAGCAGGATGAAGGAGCATTTCTAC